CACTCTGTCGCCCAGACTGGAGTGCAGTGGCCGCTCCCGGCCACCACAGCCTCGACCTGCTGGGCTCCGGTGATCCTTCCGCCTCAGCCTTCTGAGTAGCCGGAATTACAGGCATGCGCTACCACGCCCGGCTGATTTTTTGATTTATTGTAGAGATGAGGTCTCGCTGCCCAGGCGGGTCTCGAACCCGCGGACTCATGCAATCCACTCACCTCAGCCTCCCAAAGGCGCGGGATTACAGGCTGAGCCACCGAGCCCGGCCTCTATTTATTTTATTGTTACCTCTAGTTTTCCATTAATTCTAATAATGCCCTCCAATTAATGTGTCTAAAACATCCCTTTAATTGTGCTACTCACCCATTCACTAAACAGATATTTATTTAGTGTCAACTGTGTTCCAGGCACTGTTCAGGGTCTAGAGGCACTGAGATAAAAGATACAATTCCTGATCCCTAGCTCGAAGTTTAGGGAAGAGAGACAATTAAAATAACAATTACAGAACATTTTGCTGCATCTTGTAACAGAGGTATTCACAGGGAGATACAGAAAGAGAGGATGAACACTGGCTCAGACTGGGGTTTAAGAAAGACTTTATGGGCCAGGCTCGGTGGCTCAGCCTGTAATCCCAGCACTTTAGGAGGCCGAGGTGAAGTGAATTGCCTGAGCCCGCGGGTTCGAGACCCGCCTGGGCAACTTGGCAGACCTCATCTCTACAATAAATCAAAAACTAGCTGGGCGTGGTAGCGCGCGCCTGTAGTTCCAGTTACTTGGAAGGCTGAGACGGAAGGATCGCCAGAGCCCAGGAGGTCGAGGCTGCGGTAGCCGGGAGCGGCCACTGCACTCCAGTCTGGGTGACAGAGTGAGACTCGAACTCAAAAAAAAAAAAAGAAAGACTTTATGGAAGAAGAGATGATTGAGAAAACAGATAGTGGCCTCTAAGATGGATAGGAAGCAAGAGAAAGCAGAATGAAGCTGATAAATAGGACAAATGCAGGAGTCAAACGACTCCCCTAGTGAAGACCTGTAATCACTTGCCAAGGACTACAAAGAGGAGGTATGGTAGTATCAAATGACCTGAATTTCTCTCCCAGTACTCCTGCTACTTAGCTGTGTGACCTCTCTCAAGTTGTTTAACTTCCCTGGGCTTCAGTTTCCTGTGCATCAAATGGGGACAGCACTTACCTTACAGGATTGTTGAAAAAAGTAAATGCCTGGTGCACGACAAGCTCTAAAATGTCTACCATATCTTGGTGGAGGAAGTTTAATTTTATTTGAGGAAAAAGAAGGCAGAGGGTAGAGAAATGATAGGGAGCAGCAGAGCATGCTGGGGCAAGGCAGCAACTCCCTTCCACCGCTTTAGTACTAATCAAACAAAGGGCAGGCCGAGCATGGTGGCTCATGCCTATAATCCCAGCATTTTGGGAAGCCGAGAAGAGAGGAGCGCCTGAGCCCATGGGTTTGAGACCAGCCTGGGCAACTTGGCAACACCTCATCTCTACAGAAAGTTAAAAGAATTAGCCGGGTGTGGTGGTGCGCAACTGCAGTCCCAGTTACAAGGGAGGCTGAGGTGGATGGATCACCTAAGCCCAGCAGGTCGAAGTTGCGGTGGTCATAAGTGTGCCACTGCACTATAGCCTGGGCGACAGAGTCTAACTCCAACTCAAACAAACAAAAAACAAAGGAGGTGTCCAAGGCTTCATGGTTCACCTGAAGAAGGCTGTCTACAGTTGGGGACCCACACTATTGAATCAAGTGTAAACTCCTCTATGTTGTTTTCACAGTAACATGTATGATCTGGATCCATTCTATTTGTCATTTGCCTTCCTAATACTTCTCCAAAGCAAACAGTCTCTCTTTCCTTTATACCTCATACTGACCCTTCTCCACGTCTCCTCACTTTGTTTCACCTGCTTCTAGAGGCTACCTGTCTGCACATCTAAAGCCGAGTCATCCTTCAATTCCACACCATAGCCCCCTTCCTCCCCTCACAAATCCTTCCCCAACTTCTGTGGTCCAAGTTAACAACATCTACAAGAGAAAAAAACTCCCGTTGCGCACACTTGCGTGTACACACACACACACACACACACACACACACACACACAACTGTATTCTTTAACACTTAATTTTTCTCTGATCTCTTTCAAGAGCATTAATTTTGTCTTCCCAATTAGCCCATAAACTCCTTGAAAGCAAAGATCATGTATTGCACTTTCTGGTGGCTACTATTGTGACTAAAAAAGTCAAGTTATATAATATATTCTCAGATTGACTAAATACTCAGCCAAACCTTAACATCTCTAAGACATTTATGGCAGACATAATAATAATGTCTCACCCAGGCACTAAAAGAAATAAGCCAACAATACTAAGCAGTCAGGCATCTTGTATAAGGTTTTGCGAATATATATCATTTCTAAAGAACTGGATATTTCAGACTAAGAATTTATGTTTGTATTCTCTCGACCTGTAATACCAATAGTAACAGGGAAGATACAGCCAAAGCTAGAAATAATTGGCTTGATAAAAGTAGGTCCTGGGCAATAGAGTACATTTAACTAGGCAAAATGATGAGAATCTATAAGATCTGACTGCAAAGCTGTAAAAAGTTGGGTTGAATTTTTTATACTATTTCTTTAAAACACAATGTTGGCAGTTCTTCTTTTAAAAACTTGCCCATGTCAGATCTTTCTGCCATGAATAGCCCCTTTCCTTCTCTTTTTCTCACCAATAAACATTGTTTAAAAACAAAACAAAACAAAACAAAACACAATGTTTATTATTCAAACAGCTATTATGTGTAAAGACTTTTAGTAACAAACTAAATAAAACACTTTGTACCCAGATTATGTTCTATCTTCATGGGTCTCCAAATACTTACTTTTCTTGATATTTTAAAAGAAAAACAATGATCTTAAACATTTAAAAATTAAACAAAACTTATCATGCCCCAGTTTTAATAAGAAACCTGAGAAGAAGAAAGAATAATTATACATTATAAGCATTACTAATGTCATGGGATATTTAATTACCATGCAAGAAGGAAGAAGATGTAACATATTAGTCTACTTTGTAGCAAAATAAGGAAAACAACCTTTTAACAGATACCTTGTTCTCAATCACTGATGTTATCCAGGTGTCACAATTATAAGTATGTATGATTATGTTTTCATAGCCATTCATTGCTTTGGCATCACCCTTGTTAAGAACAGATTTACAAATGGCCTTCTCAAGTTGTCCGCTACATGCCTCCATATGGACAGCTTTAATTCTTGGCTTGCATTTTTCTGCATAGATATCGATGACAAATGGACATGCCTGATATGGAAGAAAATGCAAATCTTGTTTTAGTCTTTTGATAGAATTTAAAATAAGTTACTTAACTTATTATTAATATGTTCATCATTGATTTAAGAAGATACACTGCACCTGCTAGCCTGTCCTTCCAATACATTTTTAGAAGAAAATTTTAGTACTATGAATAGCATAATAGAAAATCTGGACTTTGTGGTAGCATATTATCTGATAATGTTCAGAGAAAAAGAAAGAAAATTTTATCTTCTAGCAAATCAGTAATACATTACCTCCTGTAAGCCATCGTACCATTTCTCCATTTGGTTCAATGCTAACAAATATGTTATTTCATCTCCTTTTTCTAAGTTTATGGCTACAAAGATAATTCATCAAAGGGCTCTAAAGAAATTATTATGTTCACAATGAAAACCTAATGCAAGACATAGAGCACTGATTACATAAATTTAATGTAGAAAATAAATTTACAATTAAAAGTTAGTCTTAAAACACCTTTAGGCCAGGTGTGGTGGCTCACATCTGTAATCTCAGTACTTTGGGAGGCAGAGACGAGAGGACTGCCTGAGCCCAAGGGTTTGAGACCAGCCTGGGCAAATTGGTGAGACCTCGTCTCTACAATAAATCAAAAAATTAGTTGGGCGTGGTGACACACGCCTGTAGTTCTGGCTACTCGGAAGACTGAGGCAGAAGGATCGCCTGAGCCCAGTAGGTTGAGGTTGCAGTGGCCGTGAGCATGCCACGGCACTCCAGCCTGGGCGACAGAGTGAGACTGTGAGTCTAGATAAACAAATAAAATGCCTTTAAAATCTGAAATGAAAAAATATTTACTGCATTAGGAATTGCATTTTTCTAGTGTCGGCCTTAGCCTTTCTGCCATCACCTACGATGTGCTGTAAGCAGTGCCTCTGCCTTTCTATCCAGCCCAGTCCCCTGCTTCTCTATGCTCCAGCTGCACTGATCCTTGGGATCCCAGAGTCAGTGCAACCCTGTGTATGTGCTGCTTTCTCCCGGGGCAGGTTCTGCTCCTACCTCTTCTCTCGGGTGGCTCCTCCTACTCCTCAGGTTAAAGCTGAAGTGCCACCTCCACAGAGAGGTCTCCTCTGGCCTCCTCCCCTCCCTACCACTCCTCCACTTCTTTTTTTTTTTTTGAGCTAGAGTTTCACTCTGTCACCCAGACTGGAGGGCAGTGGCTGCTCCCGGCCACCAATGCCTTGACCCACTGGGCTCCGGAGATCCTTCCGCCCCAGCCTTCCGAGTAGCCGGAATTACAGGCGCGTACTACCACGTCCGGCTGATTTTTGATTTATTGTAGAGATGAGGTCTCGCCAAGTTGCCCAGGCGGGTCTCGAACCCGCGGGTTCAGGCAATCCACTCACCTCAGCCTCCCAAAGGCGCGGGATTACAGGTTGAGCCACTGAGCCTGGCCACTCCTCCACTTCTTACCTCCTTCAGCCTCTGACTCTTCTCTTTCAAAGCACCTTTGAAGTGACATTATTTATTCTCCACTTTTAATTTAATCATTCTCCTGTATATTATGTAAATTACATAAGGGCAGGGATTTTGACCATTTTACTCATTGTACCCTCAGTGCCACTTTCCTACAGACTTATCACATAGTAGATATTAAATAAGTATTTGTTGAATAAATGAAATTCACAGACATTGATGGTCATTTTGGGGGAGAATAAAACATAAAAGTCTGAAGTTAATTTATCTGATTTTATTTTATTTTATTTTATTTTTGAGTCGGAGTCTCACTCTGTTGCCCAGACTGGAGTGCAGTGGCCGCTCCCGGCCATCGCAGCCTTGACCTGCTGGGCTCCTGCGATCCTTCTGCCTCAGCCTTCCGAGTGGCCGCAACTACAGGCGTGCGCTACCACACCCGGCTAATTTTTTATTTATTGTAGAGATGAGGTCTCGCCAAGTTGCCCAGGCGGATCTCGAACCCACGGGCTCAGGCAATCTACTCACCTCGGCCTCCCAAGGCATGGGGGATGACAGGCTGAGCCACCAAGCCCGGCTTTAACTGATTTTATTTTAAAATTTTATTTAATTTGTAGAGATGGGTTCTCACTATATTGCCCAGGCTAGTCTGGAACTTCTGACCTCAAGAAATCCTCTCACTTCAGCCTCCCAAAATGCTGAGATACAGGTATGAGCCACCACACCTGGACCCGAAGTTAACAGAACATCAATAGAAATTTTTGTTTTAAAATATTTTAATGATTCCAACCTTTGGCAACAATAAGGTTACCTTTTAAAGGGTGATAGCAGAATTAAAAATCATTGGTCTAAAAAGCAGAAGAACCAGGTTTATATTTGGATTTTGCTATTTGCTACCTATATGATCTGAGACAAGTGACTTAACTTCTATGAGGCTTAGTTTATTCATTGAGAAAGTGGAAACAAATAGTATGTATTCTGCCAAGGGTTGTTGGAAATATCTAATAGGGTGATATGTGTGAAAATATTTTATAATGTTGAAGTGTTTAAAAAGACTATGTGTAATAAATAATTATTGTGACAATTTTAAAGGTTTAATTTATTTTTAAGCACTAAATAGGTTCTGGTAATACTTAGCCATTTTTAAAAGTCTTACTTATCAATTTTATTTAACTAAATAATATCAATATTTGAATATTATTGATTGTAAAACATTTTAGGAGGTCCTTATTAAATCATGCTCTCTAAAATTGTTTAAATAAAATCTTATCACATCTAAAAAAGCTGCCCTAGCTTTATTATTTTTGTTTTTCAGGGCTTGATCTTTTATTTACCTACTCTCTTTATCCTACTAACTTAATACAGGAAGCATACAACAAGCAAGAAAACTATTAACTGTAATTGTTAATTGCAAAACTATTAACGACATATAAGTAATAAGGAAGATGGAGAAGACCGTAATAATAAAACCTACATTAAGAGATGCTACCTAAATTTAGCATGATATTTAGCTCTCAGCCATCTGTTAGCCAAGACAAGAGTGCAATAAAAGTAAATTATGTGGTTCTGAAAATCTAAAAAATGAAGTAGATTTTTCCCAGTTTTGAATCCTGAAACAAATTAATACCATGAAATTATTTCTAGAAAAAAGAAAGAAGGAAAGTAAAAAGGGAAAATTAAACATGAAAGTTCTGTTTGTCAACATTCAGTGAAACGGCAACTATTAAGTTATGGTGATATGGGGCAATGACCTTGTAGCAAGAGCAATAAAGAAGTTATGCTGGCAACCCCTTCGGGTCCCCTGCCCCTGTGGGAACTTTTCTGTTCTCTCAATAAATCCTGCTTTCTCACTTAAAAAAAAAAAAGTTATGCTGACTGGGGATCAAGATGGCTGATGTAAGTCAGCAAGAGTGTGTTTCTTCCATAGAGTGAACCGAGACAGAGATTCTTCAGCACCCAGGGAGGAACAGGACCAGCAGCAAACCTACAACTCCTCAAAGAAGCAAGGACAACCACCCCTAGTGCGGAGAAGAGAAAAATCAATCGACCTGGGCTGGAACTAGTCAGACTCCCCTCTGGATCAGGGCACAGCCTCAGTTGTAGTGGGGGAAGTGGGTGAGGGGGATTCAGGAGCTCTGCGCTCCTGCCGCCCACTCAGAGGACCTCCCGAGCCTTGTGGGACTTCAGGCCCTCGTGGGTCACAGCTGTGCTCTGCCGAAACTCACATGGAGTGGTGCCGGAAAACAAGAAGCCCTGAGCAGCTTCAGCTGCTATGTCCCAGCCACTAAGCCCTTGCAGGTAGGTGGCTGCTTTCTAGCCGGCCTAGGAGTGGGCAGGCACTGAGGGTAAGTCCTGCAGAGGCATACAGTTCATGGCTGGGTGGGGGTGGGGAGGGCTGCCATGAGACCTGCACTTTTGAAATTCAGGACGCTCTTTGAGTGATGGCTGTCGCCATGCTTCCTGGCTTTGGCCTCCTTCACTGCCTTGGGGAGGTGAATCTCCTCTTTCTCTCTCGCTCTCTCTCTAATTTATCTGTTAAATGAACTATATTTTCTAATCTGAAAAAAAAAAGAAATTCAGAACACAGGTTTGTCTGAGGCTAAGGTAACCTCTCACTCCCATGTAAATCCCTCCGTGCCTGCCCTGCATAACAGCATCACCCCAGAGGCTGAATACTCCCTCCTAGTCCCCACTGGGGTAGCCAAGAGTGCACACTGGTGGGGTGCTTGAGCTCCTGCCCCTCACAGCTCCCTCAAAGACTCAGAACAAACAGAGACCGTGGGTAATCCCCAGAGCTGTCTTCTGTCTAGGTTGGCTGGGCATTTCCTTGGAGCAACACGTGCCAAGGAGAGGGCCCACAGACACCATTCAGGTGGCTCTCTCCCACAAGCACCACTTCCTGGCCAGAAGGCAACAGCATAGTGCATCACACCTGATATAATGCCTCAGCTCTGGGGAAGGCCTGAGCCCCAAAGCTAACACCACTTTCCAAGCCACTCTGGGCACTCAGGACACCCTGAGGCAGTACAAGTACCCCGCACAGGACTCCTACAGCCAGCCATTGAGAAACTCATCACACACAGACTACATATAACCAAGGAAATCCTATAGTGCCTATGACAGCCTCCTGCCAACCTCAAATAAGAAGAAATAGTCTATCCAAATGAGAAGGAACCAGGAAAAAATGCTGACAATATAAAAAAACAGAATTTTCTAATATCCCCAAAAGACCACGGTAACTCTTCAGCAATGAACCCCACGTAAAATGAAATCTTTGAAATTCCAGACACAAAATTCAAAATGTTGATTATAAAATTGCTCAGTGAGCTTCAGGAGAAAGTTGAAAACCAATATAAAGAAACTTAAAAATCTATTAAGGACACAAATGATAAATTTTCCAAAGAGACAGATACCTAAAAAAGAAAAAGGCCAGGTATAGTGGCTCATACCTGTAACCCCAGCACTTTGGGAAGTGGAGGCAAGAGGACTGCCTGAGCCTGTGAGTTCGAGACCAGCATGGGCAACATGGCAAGATCTTGTCTCTACAATAAGTCAAAAAAATTAGCTGGGCATGGTGGCGCACAACTGTAATTCCAGCTACTTGGAAGGCTGAGGTTGAAGGATTGCCTGAGCCCAGCAGGTTGAGGCTGCGGTGGCCATGAGCAACGTGCCACTGCACTTCAGCCTGGGCAACAGAGTGACACTCTGGACTTTAAAAAAAAAAAAGAGCCGGGCTCGGTGGCTCAGCCTGTAATCCCACGCCTTTGGGAGGCTGAGGTGAGTGGATTGCCTGAGCCCACGGGTTCGAGACCCGCCTGGGCAGCGAGACCTCATCTCTACAATAAATCAAAAAATCAGCCGGGCGTGGTAGCGCGTGCCTGTAATTCCAGCTACTCGGAAGGCTGAGGCGGAAGGATCGCTGGAGACTACCAGGCGAGGCTGCGATGGCGCCCAGTCTAGGCGACTGAGTGAGACGCCAACTCAAAAAAAAAAAAGCTGAAATTCTGGAAATGAAAGAATCATTTAGGGAAGTACAAAATGCCAAAATGCAGTGGAAAGTTTTAAGGAGACTAGGACAAGCAAAAGAAAGGATCTCAGAACTTGAAGATAAAGATTTCAAATTAACCCAATCAGAAAACAATAGAAAAAAGAATCAAGAGAACAAAACCAAATTTCCAAGAAATGTGGGATTATGTAAAACCTTCAAACATAAGAATCATAGATGTTCCTGAAGAAGAAGAGAAAGTAACAAGTTTGGAAAACCTGTTTAAGGGAAAAATGGAGGAAGACTTCCCTGGCCTTGATAGAGATTTACACATCCATTTACAAGAAGCCTAAAGAACCTCCAGAAAATTCATTGCAAAAGGTCATTCCCAAGGCACATAATCATCTAGTTACATGAAGTTAATGTGATGGAAATAATTTTAAGAGCAGTGAGATAGGCATGTGATCTCAAATAAGGCAAAGTGGGGACCAAAGGGAGGCTCAACTTTTACCTGTACGATGACCACTTGTATACCTAAATCTGAATTGTAGCTGACATCCTTAAACTAAAAAAAAATTTAAAAAGAGCAGTGAAACAAAAGCATCAAGTAACTTACAAAGGTAAACCTCTCAGACTAATAGCAGACGTCTCAGAAGAAACCTGACAAGCCAGAAGGGATGGGGGCCCCATCTTCAATCTCCTCATACAGAATAACAGTCAGCCAATGATTTTGTATCCCACAAAACTAAGATCATAAATGAAGGAAAAACGAAGTCTTTCTCGGACATGGAAACACCGAAGGAATTTGTCATCACTAGATCAGCTCTATAAGAAATACTCAAGAGTTCTAAATACTGAAACAAGGACAAAATACACCAGTAGAAAAGCACTGGGAAATCATAACAGGCAGCCATGAGCATGCCACTGCACTCCAGCTAGGGAGACAATGGCTCAGTAGCTCATGCTTATAATCCTAGCATGTTGGGAGATGAGAGGTTTGCCTGAGCCCAGGGGTTTGAGACCAACCTGTGCAACTTGGTGAGACCTCGTTTCTACAATAAACCAAAAAAGTAGTGGCATGTGCCTGTAGTTCTGGCTACTGGGAAGGCTAAGGCGGAAGGACTGCCTGAGTCCAGCAGGTCAAGGCTGAGGTGGCTGTGAGCATGTCACTGCACTACAGTCTGGGCGACAAAGTGAGACTCCAACTCAAAAATAAATAAATAAATAAATAAATGAATAAATAAATAAATAAATAAACCCACAACAGACGTTAGCATGGATGCAGAGAAAAAGGAACACCTATATACTGTTGGTAGGAATGTAAACCTCTATGGAAAACACTAGGGAAATACGTCAAAGAACTAAAAATAGAACTACCAATTGACCCTGCAGTCCCTCTACTTGGGTATCTATCCAAAGGAAAATAAATCATTATATTAAAAAAAACAGCTGCACTCATCTATTTCTCACATCGCTATTCACAATAGCAAAGTCATGGAATCAACCTAAGTGTCCATTAGTGGTTGACTGGATAATGAAAATGCAGTCCATCTGTACCACAGAATACTATGGAGCAATAAAAAAGAATGAAATCATATCCTCTACAGCAACATGGATGGAGCTAGAGGCCATTATTCTAAGTGAACTAACTTGGAAACAGAAGATCAAATGTTGCATATTCTCACTTGTAAGTGGGAGATAGACAATGGGTACACATGGACATAAACATGGAAATAACATACACTGGGGACTCCAAAAGGGGGACGGTGGAAGGGGATGAAGGTTGAAAAATTATCTATGGGGTACAACATTCAATATTTAGATGAATGGGTACACTAGAAGCCCTATCTCCATCATTATTAACAGCATGTATATATATTCCCAAAATCTAAAATTTAGGGGAAAAAAAGAGTATAAACAAATATAACATTATCTAACACGTGTCCTGAAACTAAAACTCTTAAATTCTATATTTTAAATCATAGAAATACAGACTTGAAGAGGGCCTAATTTTTGTTGCCCCTGTGATTAATTACAAGTCTTACCCAACTTCTTTATCTATCATGTTCACAATAATGATGACAGCTGATACATACACACTGTTTTGTATGATCCAGCCACTGTTCCAAATGTTTTATAAGTATTAACCCAAAGATTCCCTTTATAAAAAGATCAGAATTCCAAGTTCTCATGAGAGATTCTTGTTCTAAGAGATTCTACAAACTGTTAGGACAAGGAATGTCCCTATATAAATGAGACTTCAGCAACTCAAATAGCCATCTACAACTATATATGTATTTTAACTACCCAATTTTTTCCTTGCATATCTTATACTCAAACTCTTTTGTCTCTGAATTATTTTAATGTTGGCAGTAACTAAACTTCACATAACAACAGGAACTTGCATAAGCTAGCAGAAACATGCTGCTGCACCCAGGATTCATTCATATACTGAAGTCCAAGGATAAGTGCCCTATTCAAAAGTCTTATGTCAGGAAAAAGTTCATAAGGTAAAATATTATATACACTAAACCCACTGACAAAATTTAAGAACGATTCACCTCTGTCAATTCCAGAGCTTTATTGTAGCCCATTGAGTGTAGAGTTACCCAAAGGTCGCAAGGATCTCCTTCTCGATCATTGACTTCCATTAGATTCAAATCCATAAATCCTTGTCTTGTGAGTTCATTCTTCTTTGTATCAAAACTCTCTGTTAAAACAATCAAAAGTTTCTTTCTTACTGAATTTTAAAGTTCATGTATTTTTAAAATGTCTACTTTACATGATTACACATAACTGTTTATTTTAAGAGAGGCCTGTGAATCTATGAGCAGTCTAAAAGTAGAATAAGAAATGGCTCAAAATATACTTGAGAGCTACCTTTCTAATTTCCCACAACTCAGCCTAGGCCCATCACAGTACATGATTTTGTTTTTCAACAAATCCTAAAATTATAAATAGTGTGAATATATTCCAAAATTAGAGAAAAGTGTAATTCCTACCTGCCTGCTTATACAGAGTATATACTGAGATATATTTCAAAAAATTAAAATGCTTCATATGTATTTGTCACTTACGCCCAGCAGAAACTGGGTGAATGTGATGTAATGCCCCCCAGACTACTGTAATTTTTTTTTTGTTGTTGTTTTTTTTTTTGAGTTGGAGTCTCACTCAGTCGCCCAGACTGGAGTGCAGTGGCCGCTCCCGGCCACCGCAGCCTCGACCTGCTGGGCTCCGGCGATCCTTCCGCCTCAGCCTTCCAAGTAGCTGGAACTACAGGTGCATGCTACCACGCCTGGCTAATTTTTTGATTTATTGTAGAGATGAGGTCTCGCTGCCCAAGTGGGTCTCGAACCCGCCAACTCAGGCAATCCACTCACCTCAGCCTCCCAAAGGCGCGGGATTACAGGCTAAGCCACCGAGCCCGGCTGTAATTTTAACAAGGGAGATGTGGCTAACACAAAGCTTATGGAGAGTACTTTGTGCCTAATTCCTCTAATTTTAGCCAAATTGTCCTCTGGTCTTAAAAGACTATTAAATAATGGGGAACACTTTGAAGTCCATGAATCAAAAAGTATGTCCAATTTAACATAATTTATGAGCAAAACTAAATTCACTTAGAAGTATCTAGACATGTATAATTCCAAAATCTGTCTATAACATAGATAATAAGCAACCATGTATTATGGATTACATTTTGCTAACTTCCCTGCAACATAAAAAAAATTTATTTTCCAACTTCCATCTATAATACACCTAAGGGAAGTGGGTATTCTTATTTGAGATAGCATCTCTGTTGTATGCATTATTGTGGGAAAAGCAGCAGAGATATAACTGTCTAAAACTGGTTGACTGATTAGTAGCCTAAAATGTTTAGAGTTGAAAGTGATTCATAACTTTGGCAAGGAAAAAAAAAACGCAGATTGAATTAGATCATGGACAGAAAGAGTAGCCACAAAAATAGAGGTTGGAGCTACTATGTAGTAAAGTGAGATGAAAAAATTAATATTTGATATATAATATAAAGAAATTATTAATTTAAAGAAAAGTATATCTAGATACTGTACTATAGAGACTATCAATAACTAATCTACTGTTCAAACTTAAAGTTCTCAATCCTCATCAATTTTTAAAAAGTTTATTAACACCTGATGCCAAGACTTACTACTATAAAGCTACAGCAATCAAGACAGCAAGGTATTGGTGAAAGAATGACAAATAGATCAGTGGAACAGAAGAGCTCAGAAATAGACCCACACAAATATATGCAACTGATATTTGACAAAGTATCAATTCAATGGAGAAAGAACAATCTTTTTTAAAAAATGGTACTGAAACAAATGGGATAAATATATGACACAAACCCTACACCTTTCACACAAATTAATTCAAAATAGATCACAAACTCAAATGTCAAACACAAAACTGTAAAACTTCTAGAAGATAACATAGGAAAAAAATCTAGGAAACCCTGGATTGGTGATGGTGTTTTATGTACAATACCAAAAGCACAGAAACCAAAAGTTTGATCCATAAATAAGCTGATAAGCGAGACTTCATTAAAATTAAAAACTTCTGCTTTGTGAAAGAGACTGTTTTTTCCCAAGTAAGATGGGATCTTAAGATCTGAGTACCACACGTACTCACTCATCAGTGGACCTTGAGCATTTATCATAACAGCATGAGAAAGGGATTGGCAGCAGCGGGACTGTAGTGCGGAGAGAGCGCATAACATCAATAAACATCAAAACCCACACTTTTACCTGTATTAATAACCGTGTATGTGCCTAACCCTTATTTGTACCCCACATTTTAAAAATAAGACTTTTTTAAAAAGATGGGGTCTTGCTATCTGGCCCAGGCTGCTCTTGAACTCCGGGGCTCAAGCAATCCTCCCAAAGTGCTCCCAAAATGCTGGGATTACTGGTGTGAGCCACCAAACCCAGCCTAAAAGACCCTGTTAAGAGAATGAAAAGACAAGCCATACCCTGGGAGAAAATGCTTGCAAAGTATACATCTGATAAAGGACTTATACACAAAATAAAGAACTTTGAAAACGCAACAGTAACAAAAAAAACTCAATTTTTAAAAATGGACAAAAGATCTAAACAGACACCTCACCAAAGAAAATACACAAATGGCAAAGAAGATATGGAAAGATGCTTAAACAGCATATGTCATTAGAGAATCGCAAATTAAAATAACAATGAGATGCCACTATGTACGTACTAGCTAAAACCCAAAGAACTGACAATGCTGATGAGAACCAAATGCTGATGAGAATGTGGTGCAACCCAGGAATTCTCATTCATTAATGGTGGGAATGCAAAATGATACAGCCATTTTGGAAGAGAGTTTGGTAATTCTTTCAAAGATAAATATGGTTTAATCATATAATTTAGCAATTATTCCATGGAAATGAATTGAAAACTTATGTCTGCACACAAATCTGCACACAAATGTTTACAACAGTTGTATTCATAATTGCCAAGAAATGAAAGCCACCAAGATGTCCTTCAATAGGTAAATGTATAAACAAAATATGGCACATCCACACCTTGGAACCTCATTCAGGAAGAAAGAAAAATAAGCTATCAAGCTACAAGAAGACATGGAGGAACCTTAAATGCAAACTGCTTAATGAGAGAAGATAGTTTGAAAAAGCCACATATTGTGTGAATTCAGCTATGCAACACTCTGGAAGAGGCAAAATGATAGACAGTAAAAAGGTCAGTGGTTGCCAGGGGTTTAGAGGGGTAAACAGGTAGATGAATAGATGGAGTACAGCTTTTTAGGGCATGAAACAATTCTGTATGATAGCATAATGGTGCATACAAGACATTACATATTTGTCATAACCCATCGAACTGTACAAGAGTGAACCTTAATATAAACTATGGACTTCAGTTTATAATAATGTGTTAATATTCATTCATCGATTTAAAAAACAGTACCATATGAATGCAAGATGATAATAATAGGGGAACTTTGGGGCAAGGAGGAATATATGGGATATCCCTGTATTTTTCTACTAAATTTTTCTGTAAACCTAAAAAACTATGCTAAAAACAGTTTATTAATAAACAAAATAAAAATAAAGATACCTTGAAGTCTAAAAACATTTATTAAAATAATCTTATAGAAAAATAATATATTTTCTTATTATCGGAGGGGATGGATTAATAAAATTAATATACGACAAGACAAACGTTTCAGAACCTTAAGAATTCCCATTTCTTTGCAGTATTATTAATGACGGTGAAGGAGACATTCTTCTCAAATCATTTTTCCAAGACAGATTTCTTGGAGACTTTTTGATTTTAACCACTTTGATTCTATTTCCTTATTTGTAAAATGAGAATAATAAAGTACTGCCTCATAGAACTGATGTGTAGGAATGCTTAGGTTAGCACCTGATACATGGAAAACTCTCAAAAAAATGTTACCAACTCTTATCAATTTAATCAAATTATTAAACCAGAATTTTATTTATCTTCACCATCACCATCAGAAAATCCTAATTAGATTCATTCTTATGGGATGTGCTCTAGTGCCAACAGAGAATTAAAAGATTATATCACTCATGTAACAGGATGATTACATCTTTCTATAGACACTACTCTATTATGTATATTATCAATCAGAGTTTAATATAAATCAATATACATTTCTTGTTATTGATTATATTAACTTTCAGCTAAAAAGAGAGATACTAAAAACTTTTTTATATTCACAATATTGTATTTGTACCCTCCTTGCTGTGTAGATAAACAGACTCTGACCTGGCTCACTGACTTTGCTAACCTTCGATCATTTTAACGACCACACATTACTATCCCAGTGAGAGCAGTTCATCTCTTTCTACTGCCTTCTGGCCTCCTCATGCTTCTTGTTTCATAATCTACAGTTGGCTATGGCTTTTTGGCTTTTCCCTTTGACCTTGCAGTCTTTGGTTTAAATAGGCAAGCCTATCCTCTTCCTAAAAAATGAGAGACAAGAGATAAGTGACAACTGTCTGCCTCATTCTCGGGGATTTTCTTTATCTTGCCATTTTTGACTCCAATACTTCCATTGATTGCCTTCCTTAATCCAACTCAAATACAAGAAGCATTAAAGAATTCTTAACATGTATAAATAATTTCTTGGAAACCTTAATTTTCAAGTAAAGCTCTTGTTTATATGCTCTTTGCTGCCCTCTCCTGGGCACAGCTTATGGTTCTTGACTAATGCAGGCCCAGTGGTATCAAGAGCTAGGATGGCTTTTTTTTTTTAATCTTCTAAGCCCCAAAGAGCATAGGTTGAAAATTGAAATTAGGATTAAGAAAGTATGAATTCATACTTTCTTTTATCTTGAGTTTTAAACCAACTACCAGTTTAAGGAAAATAAATGTTTAAGTTTTTTATGATCTACAAACAATGCTACTACTTTCAAACTCTCCTAAATGCTATAGTATTCCATGGAGGCAAAGTTTGACTTCTTATTTCTCAGGTATAAAAGTGTGTAATACATATTTTTACACATTTATTCCAAAAAAGAAAAATCCTTACCTCTACAGACAGCCCAAGCATCTTCATCACATTTTTCACCACTTGTTCTCAATTCAAAAAAATTATATTCTTCAAGGCTAAGAAGACCATTTCCATCTAAATCAATTACTTCAAATATATCCGATAAAGTAGACCTAAAGGTATTAAAAATAGCTAATTATCTCTTGTCTCTAAAGCTACCAGAATGAAGAAAGTTTCTGTGAAGATAATTTTCAAAAGGAAGTAATATCATGTCATTAAACAATGCCTGTAAACTATAAAGTTAACATATTCAAATAGCTTTCACTCAGTCTGGTATTAAATAAGATAAACAAGCTTCTAAAGCAACCATAGTATCTCAACACATAGCAAGAACTTAATGAATCATAATAGTTCTCTTCTTCTTTTCCCCTTTCTCCAATCTTTCTTCTTCCTCTCTACCTACAGACAAATCTTATTGTGTATATCTAGGACATGGGAGAACTGCTAAGTTTTGTATTTCATATTTGATGGTTATCTAAATCAACAGTGCAGCTGGCAGGATCTGTTTCTAAAGACAGTGTCCAGTGGGGGAGAAAAAGGTAGATGTGTGACAAAAGTTGACTTGCCAAATGTGTAGAGCCCAGAAGTAGATGACAATCTCAGACCCATGAATGGGAAGTCACTTTCAGATACTGGAGAACCAATTGTTTTGTTTTGGGTATATATTTATGGTGTACAACATGATTTTCTTATATGTCCACATTGTGCAATGACTATATCAAGCTAATTAATATATACCGTATCTCACATTCTTGCCATTTTTTAATGGTAAGCACATTTAGAATCTATTTTCAGCAATTTTCAAGTATACAATACATTGTTATGAACTATAATCACCAAGTTGTACTTATTTCTTTTGTTTGTTTGTTTTGAGTCAGAGTCTCACTATGTTGTCCAGACTGGAGTGCACTGCACGCTCATGGCCACCATAGCCTTGATCTGCTGGGCTCAGGTTCCTTCCACCTCAGTCTTCCAAGTAGGTGGGGCTACAGGTGCTTGTCACCATGCCTGGCTATTTTTTTTTAATTGTAGAGACAAGGTTTTACCAAGTTGCCCAGGCTGGTCTTGAACCCCTAGGCTCGGCAATGTTCTCATCTCAACCTCCCAAAGTACTAGGATTACAGGTGTGAGCCACCATGCCCAGCTGAACTTACTCCTTTTAACTGAAATTTTGTATCCTTTGACCAAAATCTCCCCAACCCACAACCACTCCCAGCCTCTCTATTCCTAAGAGTTCAACTTGTTAAGATGCCACATATCAGTGAGTATGCCTGGCTTATTTCACTCCCTCCAAGCTCATTCAGGTTGTCATGAGAGTTGAGTTACTGAATTGGACTCTGAGGATGGGGGTGAGGGCTGGGAAGAAGAAAGGAGGGAAGACAGGTTACTGACAAATATTCAGTCTAGATGTAATAGTTCTAACCTTAATAAACAAACAAAACATACCTAAATTCATTTGTAAGAAATAATTCCCCTGATTCATCTCTATATACAAGTTGGGCTTCTTCTGTTACTGGTTTTATTTCTTTCCTCAGCCTACAGCCAGTTGTGGAAGGGATTAACCAGTAAATTCCAGGTCCTAGTTCACCAGTCCATCCAAACACCTTTTCTCAAAGGAATTAAACAAAACCACTGTGAGTCTTAATGAATTTTTATCTTTCTTCTGAAAGGGAAACATTAGAGATGATTTTTAGATCAGTATTCACCAATTCTATTATAGTTCTATAAATATTTTACAGGTTTCAAATTCTTTTTGAATGGCATTCCCATTATGACACCATTCTATATTGTAGTTCTTTATATATTTTTTTAAATAAATGCCTAAAACTATAACACATAAGAAATTATATAGCTTCTAAATCTTCCCCAGTAGTCTTCAAAAATGCAAATATCTTCAATAGAAAGAAAAGAGATAAATCTTGGAATAATTTTTTAAATGAAAACTCTGAGCTCTTTTTTAAAAAAGTAATAATATACCAGGTTACCTAATTTGGTTCAAATATAAATGTATGATTTGCAAATAGATTTCAATGACAAAATAAAAATTAAATATATTTTAAATTCACTATTTGTATGAATTAGCCATATTTGTAAGAATCTAATTATGAGGACAGAAGGATGGAATTTTACTATTATTTATGAAATATGGGGCTGTAAAACAACACGCCGAATCCCAGATAAACCTGTCTTATGTAAAATTCTGTTTCCTGTCAAATGTTGGATATTTATAATGAGTGCGGGATATTTGTATAAAAGGAAATTGCATTCTCCTGCTCTATAAAAGAAAACAAATCACATCTTGGAGCTTTTGGAACCCAGAGTTTCCTCTAAAAACTGGGGATTGTCTCTCTTAAATATATTACATCTAAGCATTTCCTAGTTGTGCATTAAGAGCTAAGAAACAGCTATTTGCCCTTCAGCACAGACTAGTCCAAGGGATTCTTGTCAGGCATCGTGTCCCAAAATGCCTTTCAAAACCCAGTTCTATTTTAAGGCATCCTGGAGACTCACATGCAAGATGAAGCTGCTCATCTGAATTCTGGGGTTAGTCCTATTTCTGCCCTGCCAAGTCACAGGAACCACTATCATCCTAAGGTCACCATATGCTATTTTGATACAAGAAACAATTCAGTATAACCAAGGGTCACTTGTAAGGCTAAATGTTTACCAAATTCATCCTTTGGAAACCATAAGCTTTAAAATTGGCCTGTTGTAGTCTGATATTCAGGAGCAAAAAATCAGATCTTGCTGCTTTCTAGTATATTTTATCCCATGAACCTTCTTATCTCCACATACATGCTTGCACTGCCACTGTGGATGGCAAATGGAAAGTTTTTCATGGGCACAAAACTCTTCTTAAAGAAAATAATTGTGAAACTAAAAATACAAATAAAAAATCCTTTGTAAATATGACGTATTACAGATAAACAGAAGCCTATATAGTAAAAAGTAGAAACTCATTCAAATTTTACTATACCCGTGCTATGTACTAACTTTTATACACATGCAACTCATAAGAAAGTGATTTTACCCAAAACAACGTGGGAAAAGCTATTGTTTTAGGTAATGCTTTATCTTGAACTTAACTTTGTAGTCATAGGTTCTAAAGAAGAGTTTAGTCAAAACATTAACTTCTACCAATTTTATCTGTTTCTTGCCTGTAACTATTCTTGTCAGTTAGGAAGCCTACAATAAAGACTTTTATATAACATTCTATCAAGAAAATGTTTGTCTGTCATTGAGCCGATATAAAGATTAAATATGATTTTGCAGTAAGCCCCTGAATAGCATTATTTCTGTTGTTGTGCAGCAGATGTATTTTGTAGTCCTCATAAAATAAATAGCCACATTTATGTACCGCCTCACATATTTGGCCTCTGAGTAAATATATAATTAGAAAAGATCAGAACTACCCCATGGGCAACATATAAAAACACTTAAAAGCATTTTTTTTATATCAATTTATTTTTGAACCTTATAAGTCAAGCCTGAGGATAGTAATCTTAAAGTTTTTCTGTTTTGGAGTAGTAATATAAGTAAGAAAAACATTTAGAGCAACTTTTCCAAAGTCTTAAATTGTTTGTATTTAGGGGAAAAAAATTTACCAGCATCAATCTTTTTTTATTGAATGTATCAAAAAAAATGTTCACATGTGAGTCATGAGGGCACTTAAAGGAGAAAGTAAAGACTCAAGACTGCCAACCAATCTTCAATTTTTTTTTTAAGAGACAGGGTCTTGTTGTGTTGTCCAGGTTGGACTGCAGTGGTTATTCACAGGTGTGATTTTGGTACACTTTAGTCTCAAACTCCTGAGCTCAAGCAGTCTTCCTGCATCAACCTCCTGAGTAGCTGGGACTTCAGGTGTGTGCCACTGTGCCCAGTTCCTATTCCCAATTCTTAACAAATCTCAGCAAACAAGAAAAAAATCCTTTATAATTAATGAAATATCTCTGTGGTATTTAAGCACTGTATATACCTTAACTGGAAGGTAGGCAAGAGCTTAAAAAAGAAAATGGATATAAAAAATGATTATTTTCTTGAAACTGGAGTTCATACTATATTTTTAAATAAACATTAGAAAATAAATAGGTATACTTCTCTATTTCGTAGTTCGGTAAAACACACGATCTGTAGATTTGCTTGACTTTCATTTTCCTTAAGAATATACAAGGTGGTATCAACTGATAACCAAGGAGATGGCTTTCCTACAAGCAAAAATATCCAAATACCTTAAAATAAGCAATCACGACTTACTCTTTCCCACCTAAAAAAGAAGTTAGTGGTTTCTTACTCACTTGGCCTTTTTTTTTTTTAAAGAAATACATTTCCCATTCTTACCTGTAAACAATAAGGCACATATCTATACACAGTGACCTTGTAAGAAACATTCTCTACATGCTCATTTTCTAAAAATCCTAACTTCTATTGAAGTCATCAAAAGCTGAGGCTACAGAACAACTAATTAACCAGAAATTCAAAGAGAAACAGACCATTTCAGGGAGAAATGGGATGTAAGCACCGGCTTACCTATGGGGGAGCACAGGAAGAAGAGATGTCAGACATCATCTGTGTGCTAACAACTCCAAAATTTACATGTCCAGCTAGGATCTCTCCTCTGATGGTTAGACCCATATAACCAATTGCATATTTAACATTTCCAATGAATTTCTATTTCCAAAACTGTACTCCCTCAATCCCTTTTTTAAAAAGTGTCCATCTCTATATATACTCTTCTAATTTATCTCAGTTAATGGTAACTCGTTCCTTCAGTTGCTCAGGCCAAAAATCTTAGAGTCATCTTCTCTCACATATCAAGACCAATCCTTAGGAAATCCTATGGGTCTACTTTCAAAATATACCCAGAATTTGGCCGGGCATGGTAGTTCACGCCTCTATTCCCAGCACTTTCGGAGGTTGAGGCAGAAGGATTGCTGAGTCCAGGAGTTTGAGACCAGCCTGGGCAACACAGCGAGACCTCATCTCTACAAAAAATAAATAAAAATAAATTAGCCAGGGCATGGTGGCACATGTCTGTAGTCCCAGCTACTCTGGAGATTTAGACAAAAGAATTGCCTGAGCCCAGGAGGTTGAGGCTGTGGTGGGTCATGACTGTGCCACTGCACCTCAGCCTAGACCAACTACCAAATATTATAAGTATCCTACGAGGTACGTAAAATCTCTACTCTAGGAAGGGATAAGGAATAGGATGGAGAGAATTCTCAGTAAGAAAATGCCTATATGTAAGTGGGCAAAAGATATGAATAGGCACATCTCAAAAGAAGACATACGAGCAGCCAACAGGTACATGAAAAATGCTCAGCCTCACTAGTCATCAAAGAAATGCAAATTAAAACCACACTGAGATACCACCAAACTCCAGTCAGGATGGCCATCATCAATAACTCAAAAAACAACCGTGCTGGAGAGGATGTGGTGAAAAGGGAACACTTTTACACTGTTGATAGGAGTGTAAACTAGTACAACCTCTGTGGAAAATAGTGTGGCGATTCCTAAAAGATCTAAAAATCGACCTCCCATATGACCCTGCAATCCCCCTACTGGGAATATACCCGGAGGAACTCAAATCACTCTATAAAAAAGATACCTGCACATGCATGTTTATTGCAGCATTATTCACAATAGCAAAAACATGGAAACAACCATGCTGTCTATCGAAAGAGGGCTAGATAAAAAAAAATGTGGTACATATACATGATGGAATATTATGCACCCATAAAGAAGGATTAAATTGTGAACTTTACAGATACTTGAGTGGACTTAGAGGCTATAATACTGAGTGATCTATCACAGAAACAAAGAACTAAGTATCACATGTTCTCACTCATAAGCGGGCCTTGAACAGCTATCATAATACTATAAGAAAGATATTGGCAGTAGTGGGAAACTGTCAGGGAAGGAGGGGGGCATACCTCATCAACAAGGGCACCTCCATAATGAACATTTGTATAACTAACCCTCACTTATACCCCACATATTTAAAATAAATTTTTTTAAAAAAGGAAATGCCTGTATGTAAACATAAAAGGAAAATAAAGATTGATTTAAAACAATCAACATTAAAAGGCTATCTAGATAAATCACCCTTACAGACAGCTTTCATTGATTAAAAATTATATAATCATTTTAGACACTAGAACATTATTTAATTCTATCTAGAAAATATCACCATGAATGTAGATTCATTAATAAATACAGAATATCTAAATTACAGACACAATATTCTGAAGTTATTAAAAAGATACTTGAAGTTTCACATTGTTCCAAACTATGATCCTATAGAATTTTTCTTACATATATTAATTCTAAAGATTGATAAACAGAAATACTTAGCAAATTAAGAATTAATAGAAAATATTAATTAGCAAATAAAAAGTTAATTCTATATCTTGAGGAAATCAAGTAACATTTTGTTGTTGTTTTTTTTTGAGTTGGAGTCTCACTCTGTCACCCAGATTCGAGTGCAGTGGCACGCTCACGGCCACTTGCAGCCTCGACCTGCTGGGCTCCGGGAATCCATCTGCCTCAGCCTTCTGAGTAGCTGGAACTACAGGTGCGTGCTACCACACCCAGCTAGTTTTTGATTTATTGTAGAGATGAGGTCTTGTCAAGTTGCCTGGGCAGGTCTCGAACCCACAGGTTCAGGCAATCCACTCACCTCAGCCTCCCAAAGTGCTGGGATTACAGGCTGAGTCATCATGTCCAGCCTTGTTGTTTTTAATAAAACATGCTTTAAACATATACACAAAGTAATTTGCTTGCTTTGCATAATATGATAATGCAGCCCATGTATAAGCTAACACTTTATTTCTTGAAATGTAACCATATGCTTCTTACTTAGGCTATTTTCTTCACCAATTAGGGCTATGAACTACTTAAATAAGTATTTTCAAAGAGGGTAAAACAGGTATTTTAAATGTATACAGAAAATTTAAACTTGCCTTCGACTTGACTTAAGTTTAACGGCTTAATTGTCAGATAAACCATGGACTTCTGAGCTATTTGCATCCTGTATTGATGACTAATGATTTCACCATCTTCTTCTAAGAAGAAGCAGCCTTTTGACTGTATGCATTGCCACTCCTGAAATGAAGGAACAATTGTTTTCAAACAATATTTATTAAATGTTTCCAGCATGCATAGTCATGAGGAGAAACCTGAGGAGGATATAAAAGAAATGTCAGATCCAGTCATTGCTCTCCAGGAATGTGCAACATAGTTAAGAGGTAAAAAAAAAAATAGCATAACACAATTCAATTATAACTAGCAGTCATATATCGTTAGGACAAAAAAAGAATCACACATGCAAAAAAGTACTATAATCCAACACCCAAAATAGTGCCCAGCTAGAACAAATGTATTGAAAGAAAAAAAAATGATAAGACTCTGTATTTAAAGATAAATACAAAATAATTATTCCAAATCTAGGTAGCTAGAAGAACAATGAATAAAAATTTCACAGCTAAATAAAAATGCTGACAAATACAAAATACCAGTTTTGAGAAAGAACTCTCTATATCGGCTCTACCATCTCTCGGTCTAGCCAATCCCTCCTGCTCCAAATCAATATATAGGATCTCACAACCAGAATTAAGTAAAACTTGAAAATGGCACCTTGGGCAGAAAGTAGAGGGTTCTTTTTTGAAGTTATGCGGAATTGTACCAGTACCACAGATGTGTGCAAAAATGCTTTGCATTTTATCATTAGCAGGCCTGCCTACCTGTAAGTTAAGACATATTTCTGTTCTACTCTTAATGGTTTCCAAAAATAGAGTATTAGTGAGGTTTTGAAGTGACTTTATAAAGGAAGATTTTGAAAACTTATCTGTAAGGATATTTAGATTAACGTTAAAGTTCAAGGTTTTAATATTGGTAATGAATAAAAAGGTATGCATTAGCTCTATTTAACAATAACATCACAAATGTTTTAAAATGCATTACAGAAAGACTTACTATGGCACTGAAAGGCAAGACCAAAAATAATTCACATTGAGATTGCTTTTTTGCTCAATTTTTTTTCTTTCAATAAATTTTTTGACTGTGTACAGTGTCTCACTCCTATAATACAAGCAGTTTGGGAGGCCAAAGTGGGAGGATTGCTTGATCACAGAGTTCTTTATATATTCTGAATATTAATTTCTTTCCAGGCTGGGCTTGGTGGCTCACATCTTAAATTCCAGCACTTTGGGCAACCCGGGTGGGAGAACTGCTTGAGCTCAGGAGTTTGAGATCAGCCTGGGCAACACAGTGAGACCATGTCTCTACAAAAAAATTCAAAAATTAGTCAGTTGCAGTGGTACACACCTGTAGTCCCAGTTACAGGTACACACCTGTAGTCCCAGGAGGAAAAGGCAGGATTGCCTGAGCCCAGCAGGTCAAGGCTGCGGTGGCCCCGAGTGTGCCACTGCACTCCACCTGGGCAACAGAGTGAGACTCCAACTCAAAAAAAACCACCAAAACCCCGTTTTAGGTATGTGATTTGCAAATGATTTCTCCCATTCCATGGGTTCGCATTTTCACTCTGTTGATAGCATCCTCTGATGCACAAGAGTTTTTTAATTTTGATGAAATTCAGTTTATCTAATTTTTCTCTTGTGGTCTGTGCTTTTGGTTGTCACATTCAAGAAATCACTGTCAAATTGAATGTCAGCTTTCCTCCTGTTTTCTTCTCAGAGTTTTATAGTTTTAGCATGCTTAGGTCTGAAGAGATGCACAGCATCATTAATCATCAGAGTAAGGCAAATCAGAACAGAGAAATACCACTTCACACCCATTAGGACAGCTATCATCAAAAACCATAAGACAACAAGTGTTGGTGAGTACATAGAGGAACTGGAACTCTTGTGCATTGTTCATAGGAATACAAAACAGTGAGGTCACTGTGAAAGCAATATGACAATTTCTCCGAAAAAGAAAGAAACCTAGACTTCCATATGATCTAGCAGTTCCACTTCTGGGTGTATAACCAAAAGAATTGAAAGCAGATACTCAAACAGATATTTGTACACCAGTGTTCACAGCATTACTACTCACAGCGGCCACAAGGTGGAAACAACCCAAATATTCATCAACAGAACAAGTAAACAAAATGTGATATATTCATACAATGGAATATTATTCAGTCTTAAAAAGGAACAAAATTCTGATGCATGCTATACATGAATAAACCTTGAAGACTATGCAAAGTAAAATAAGCCAGACACTAAAGGATAAATATTGTATGATTCCACTTACATTAGGTACCTAGAGTGGTCAAATTCATAGAGACAGAATGGTAATTTACAGAGGATGTGGGGAGGAGGAAATAGGGAGTTATTGTTGAATGGGTAAAGCTCTGGATGAAAAAGTTCTGGAGATGGATGCTGATGGCTGTACAACAGTGTAAATACACTTAATGCCACAGAACTGTATACTTAAGGATAAGTAAAATGGTTTTATTTTTGCTATGCAATATTCAAAATTTCAGTTTAACTGGTTCTATGATTAAAAACTGAGTTGGCATACCATTACTTAGTTAATTATTTCTAAAATGCTGGACATTTAGGTCATTTCCAATTTCTCATAAGTATAGATAATCCCTAAATTAATACTATATTGTCTAAATGTTTTCCTTCTGAAGAATGATCTCCTTGAGAACTTCTAGGCAAAAAACTATGTATATTTTTAAGGCTACTGACATGTGTTCCCATGCTGCTCTACAAAACAGCAATTCCAATTTTACCATACTACCAATGGCATGTAATGTAATAACTGTACCATTATTTGGTCAGTACTGAGTTAACATGAAAAAAATTAGATGATGATTTGGGATGATTTCTTAAGGAATCTGAGGGTACATAAAGCATTCATTACAGCATTCCATATATTTTACATGCCTGAAATATTTGACAGTAAAAAATGATATTGTAATAACTTTCACATTAATTTGAATTTCTCTCATTACTACTTTCAAAGTTGAATATTTTCTCATGTTTATTATTTTTCTTTCCTTTTTTGAGTGAATCACCTAGTCTTCTATTCTTATAGCTGTGCTGTGGGACTTGGTATTTTTCTTACATTTTTAAGTAAATTCTTTGACTATTTTATATATTAACCATGCTTTGTGAGTTTTGATGCATATATTTTCTCTATATCCTTTTACTTTAGTTCCGGTTATTTGTCACTTTATGCAAGTTTTAAAAAAATTTTATCTTTTCTTTGGAAATTTTTTCCTAAACTAAATTTTAAGATTTTATCATTAGTGTTGAATTATTACCTAAGTTTTCGATCAGTCATTAATCACATACACTGTCACACCTTTGGAGTATAAAAGATATTTACATTTTTAATTCTGAGAAATTAAAATGTGACCTTAAATTACTGAAATGTATTTTCTTAAGTATATTGCTCATGACAGAAACAAGTCATTATACTGTATATGATATTTCAACAACATCTCTATGTGGCAATATGAGATACATTTTAATAAACAGAAACTGAGATATATAGAGGTTATATGTGTTTAAAGTTTTATAAGAATAATGTAGAAATATTAGGTCTAGAGTTTAGATCAATGCTTTTACCGTTAGATCATATTTTTAAAAGAAAATATACTCAGGGTACCACATTCAAAATGTTAATTATCTCTGACATGAGGTTCAAAATTGGACTTGAGCCAAAAGTTCAACTATTAATGGTGGGTAAGAGTATGACAGACTTTTATTTAGCTTTCCTGTAAATCTCTTAGATGTACACATATATGGATTGAAAACTGATGCTGGCATTACTTCATAGCCAATTGCCCTTAATATAGTAAATATAACCTTGGACAATGATGACTGCTAAAGATAAGAAAGAAATACCCATAAAGTACTTAGACAAATTACTCTTTAAGACTGTTTGAACTATGATTCTGACATTAAACAAAATATTTTAAATATTTTTCTTTCAATAAATTTTGATTATAGTATTAGATGGAATTTCACCCAATATATTTTATAAATATATTGCAGAACCAGAGGTGGGGCCCAGATCTCCTTACTTTCTCTCCAGTGTGCCAGCTACATTCTAAGTTTTGTTCTGTTTCACATTTAAATAAAAGTAAGTTTAAAACAAAAAACGTTATGATTATGATACTATTATGATAAAGTATGACAAGGTATTATCGTTCTGAACTATCCATATATTTCAGTGGTAAGATAAACTTAATTGTTTTTCTCACTTAAAAATGTAGATTTTAGTATCTCCAAAATTTCTTAAATTTATATTATTATTATTTGTGTAGCAAATGCCCCCACCCTGTTTTTAAAAAAGTTTAAATGAAGCTGTAGGAAAAATAAACAACACTTTTGCCTGGTACACTGGTAGTAATTTGTGCCACTTAGACAATTCAAAGAGGGAAAAAATTTTCTATGTGCTGATGGTATTTCTGATGCAATGCCATGAACTGACAGGACGTGGTTTTATAAAATTTAGCTGGAATGCAAGTTAAACATTGTTATTAGAGATCATTCCTAAGTCTGAATTCTAGAAAACAATGCTACAGTAGAAGAGAATTTGCAAGTTTCCTTGGAAAGATAACTAAACTTCATACTATAATATTATACACAAATTAATAAGGCTGGGAAATGGTAAAACAACAGTTATTATGAAATAGAAGACAAATGCCACATTATTTACATCAAACAAACTACAGTGTGGTAATCAGGTGATTTTGAATACTAAATAACATTACTAGGAAAATCTGTAACTCCACTGCGTAAAAAAAAAGAAAGCATTTGGCTATTTAAGCTTTGCCAGAGTTATTAAACATATAATGCCGTTCGACCTAAAATTTCCTTTAAAACAAATAGACTTTCAATCATACAAAGTTTTTCCTCTAGGACCTAGACCAAAATGTCATGAATTAAAAGAAAAAAGTACTGATAAATTAGCTGGCTTATTCAAATAAATCAGTTTGAAAGGATTTTAGATTAAGTTGACAGCTTGAGTATTATGAGAAAAATGAAAGAAGGCTGAGCTTTGAAAAAAATCAGAATGATAGAGTAAGAAATTCCATGTATAATTTTTTGATAACAAAGCAGAAAATAATACCTTGTAATTCTTTTATAGGGCATGAGGTGGTGCTATATTCTACTAATACAGGTAAAATGATATAAACTCTAACAAAACTGGTACTTCATTTATTTGTCACACACAAATTTTACTTATTTTCATCCATAATATATAAAGTAATGCTGAAAAGTACAAATTGCAAACAGTAAAGCAGAAAATTCTAGCAATCAAAACAAATAAGCCGGACTTGGTGGCTCAGCCAGTAATCCCGTGCCTTTGGGAGGCTGAGGTGAGTGGATTGCCTGAGCCCGCGGGTTCGAGACCCACCTGGGCCACTTGGCAAGACCTCATCTCTTCAATAAAATAAAAATTAGACATGCGTGGTAGGGCACGCCTGTAGTTCCAGCTACGTGGAAAGCTGAGGCGGAAAGATCTCCGGAGCCCAGCAGGTCCAGGTTGCGGTGGCCAGGAGCGGCCACTACACTCCAGTCTGGGCAACGGAGTGAGACTCCAACTCAAAAAAAAAAAAAACCAAAAAACAAAAAACAAATAGTATAATTACATTTGTCTTGGGAACACTGTAGCAAACAAACATGATTTATTTTGACTACAAATTATGTAATATTCAATTTTTTTTTTGAGTCAGAGTGCACACTCATAGCCACCGCAGCCTCGATCTGCTGGGTTCAGGCGATCATTCTGCCTCAGCCTTTCAAGTAGATGGAATTACAGGTGCACGCACCACACCTGCCTAATTTTTTGATTTATTGTAGAGATGAGGTCTCACCAAGTTGTCCGGGCTGGTCTTGAACCCCTGGACTCAGGCAATCCTCTTACCTTGGCCTCCCAAAGTGCGAGGATTACAGGCTTGAGCCACCGCACCTGGCCTATATAATAATAAAATTTTAGGTGAGCCGGGTTCGGTGGCTCAGCCTGTAATCCCATGCTTGGGAGGCTGAGGTGAGTGGAATGCCTGAGCCTGTGGGTTCGAGACCCGCCTGGGCAACTTAGTGAGACCTCATCTTTATAATAAATCAAAAAATTAGCCAGGTGTGGTAGCACGCGCCTGTGGTTCCAGCTACTTGGAAGGCTGAG